GAAAATATAGAAAAGAACATACAATTATCTAACCGAAGTAGTAAAAATGAGTAAGCGATGGCTATTAAGACCCCTATTAACTGATCTTTAGATTAAGTCGTATAGCCATCAATATGACACCAGCCTCAAGATCCAGACGCACCAGTCATGATCTCGTACTGATCTTCCCGACCTGGTCATGCATTTCCTGCCATAAACTACTTCAAAGTTACTTTCTTCGTCACATTCACTGATCTTTAGATTAAGTCGTATAGCCATCAATATGGCACCAGCCTCAAGATCCAGACGCACCAGTCATGATCTCGTACTGATCTTCCCGACCTGGTCATGCATTTCCTGCCATAAACTACTTCAAAGTCACCTTCTTCGTCACTTTCATTATCTGAAACAGTCTCGTGTACTTATCCGGTTGCTGTATGTCCTGTATCTTGTTGGGTCCTTGTTGTTGGCCTAAATTTCAATCCATTTTCAATCCTTCAATTCATTGCAACAGACGACGGGAAAAAATCAATGCCAAAATATACTCTTAAATAACGAAACTGGACCATTATTTTTGGAATTCAATTGGTGCAAAAAAAGTTTCAGCTTTTTAAAAAGATAGCAAATAGCATGACAAGTACCCGTAGTGTCGGGTCTGAAGGGACTTAATGTAGGATAATTAGATGCGAAATGAGCGTTAACACTCTAGAAAAAGAAGGACTTGTTTTGCATATAGGACAGTGACGTGGTGAACGGACTAGTAGGGAGACTTTTGACGGAACTAAGGGCGTATAATGTAACCGTTTATTGAGCTTGATTCGCGACTTCACAGTACCGTAACGCTGGTGGTAAAAATCCCACTTGTGTTATCTTGAGTTGATTCGCTTTTTATGATTCGTTTTCAAACAGGGCGAAAGTTCTCTATCCAGTCCCTCATCACAACTTCAACTTCTTTTGGTACTATTTGCACCGATGGGAGAGACATAGTTGAAAGTGCTGATAGAGGCATGAAAGTATTTGACAAGGCACAATTCGATTTTTCTTGAGTGCAGCCCTTCGAATTCGTAGTTCTTTTAAGCGATTCCTTCATTGTGGTTTCAAAGTCTTGTGCGTACGTAGTTTAAAGCACTAAATGTTTTGTGTTGAAGTGAGAAACAGCGTGTAGGTTTTCCACCTGTGTTATCAGAAGTTTTTTGTACCTCGATACAGATTTTGTCGACATCCTCTTTCGCGTCCCTGTGTTACCTTTTTTTCACAGACGTACCTTTTTCGCACGTATTTCAAAAGCGTCATAAAGATATCCAAGGGTTTTAATGAACGAACTTGTTTCAGAAAGACAGGTTTAAACACGATCTTAATAGCCTCGATAGTTAGAACTGCAACATCAGCTACAACAATGATTTTTCGTAAGTACAAATTACATGTACTTTAAAGAAAGATGTTGATTTCTTTGAGCAATCAGAAGATCTAATGCTTAGAGTTAGCTTTTTTCTTTGGGTAGTAATGTTTAACGTGACGTTCTTTGGGGTCCGTGAAGACAGTTCTTTCCTTTTCCGAACACAAAAATCTTGTTCCTTGAGTTCTCAACAACCAGCTGCTCTATGATTGACCCTTTCTGTTTGCCGGGTCCGGGTACTGCCCAGGCGCCTTTTGTGCATACTAGTATGTGTTAATGTGCCACCGGGTGATCAGCGGGACAGAAAGAAGGCAGAAAATAGCATTTCTCCTTGCAAAACTTTGTCGCATTCATTAACATCAACGATCGTATAAATAGAATGTCACTTAACTGTTAAATTTTCGTTTCTGAGTTAACTACTATTTTTTTGGCCAAATATCAGTTAACTGCTAACCCCATTAGCACTCTCTTATCAGTGCCGCGAAAGTGTATAATTGTGTGATTTCCAAATAGCTTTGACAGGCAGAACTCAGGTCTGTGGTCGCGTGGTTGAGTTATTGCACTAAAATATTCTGTGCCAGCAATAAAAAAGGTTTCGTCGGTGTTTAGCTTACTGAGCTTTGTTGATTGTGCCTTGCAAAATTAATTCTCTTCTCAAGACAATTAGATCTAGGTCTAGTTTCAGAGGGCTCTTTGGCTTTGAACTATAGGCCGGTTTTGGCAGATAAAAAGATGATAATTTGTGTACTAATGCTGCGATCAATTCCTTGTCTATTCCATGCGAAATCCAGTCATTTTTCGGACCGCGAAAAAGTAGTGTTTTGATAAGTATTTAAGTTGTTATGCAAGCCTAAACCAGCCACTTTTTGGCTGCATTTCACTTAGCCTGAATTTCATCCGATTACTTCGAGTCGTTGTTACTCCCTCAGTAAAACCTCCTTTAAAACTTATCGATATTCAGTAGGGGTATCATCCAATGGACTTTACAAATTCAATCACTTGAGGCGGAGGAGTGGGGGCCTTTAATTCGGTCTGAGGAAAAGTACGAGTTAAAATGACTATACATTAACATATTCACCAAAATTTGTGGGTTTTTTAACTGAGAAATCACCAGACTAATCCAATTTCACGACTGTTTATTCATCGATCCAAGGATAAGTTGGTCAAGTCACTCTTACATGTACCAGCCACTGACCGGTTTGCAATTCCGCAAAATTATTAATAATTTATATCATTTCCCATTATGTCGCGTCGTATCGCACTTAGATGTAGTGATACTCTCTTCAAACGTTTTTCCCTCTTGTACGATTCAGAATAACTGTGGAAATTTCTTTAATTTGGATAGCCGTTTTGAGAAGGCAGGTAGACGCTTAGGGCCTGTTTACATGGAGGTGGGGGTCCCCAGGTTAGTGAGGTGACCCTCTTAGGTAGGGTAACCCGCCTGTCCATACAATCTCTCAATGGTCACCCCCACCTATCATGTAAGCTTGATCAAATTAAAATGACAGATTATATGGACAGGCGGGTTACTCACCTACACGTGAGCAGGTCTTTAAACTGTGTACTTGAGGTTGTACAATGTATTTGCATAATGATATCTGACCAACCTTTGTTATTTTGGCTGCTTTTGTTTTCCCATTTTATTATTATTATTATTTTTTTTATATAAAAAGAGCAAACCGTTATTTAGCAATCCTATTGAAATGAAATATTTAGCTTGAATAGTAACAGTTTATCAGCCTACCTCATAAAATGGCTTTTCAGCCAACTTTAAAATTGCAATTTGATTATTAAATCATAATTATTAACGTTACAATATGTCAAATTTATTGGGAAAAAAATTAAATAAGGAAATGACTCTTCCATGGCTTTTTCACCTCAGCCTTAAGCTGCTCGAGATTCTCTATATTACCTAAAGATTCTGCAAAGTCATTCCAGAGGCGAACTGCTCATGGCCGCTGACCGACAGTGAATCTAAATGAAGGCGTGTCTAACTTGTTTCTTTTCCCGATATTACGAGAGTGCGCATTGACCATTTCCTTAAACCTGTTACAGATAAGGGGCTGGGCAAGTCCCTTAACATGTGTTAAATAAACTCGAATTTTTTTAAGGCTTGTCAAAAAACGCAAGGCACGCAATCTGTCACTGGTTAAAAATCTTGCGCTTATTACGTTCGAATGTTAAACCAGTTATAAAACACTGCTGTTCGCGTTTTAAACATTACTAAACACGGAACGCTTACAGACTAGAAAACGATTGTTTTCCTTTTCCTACCTTGAGATACATTACCTTAGAATTAAACACCAAAAACCATTCACCACCATATGACAATCAACTTGAACGAGATGAAATAAGAGTTATAAAAGTTAATTTGAAACAGTGTGAATACAACGCTTTTGTGGCGTTTTCGCTCCATGCCGTCGCAGTGGTGGTTGCTTAATATGCTCCTTATATGGAAAGAGACCGTGACTGATAGGGAGATCGGGTATGCCAAACATGGAGAATATGGACTCTACGCCTCCGACCGAGTTTAATAAACTTTGGAGGGGCTAAACTGTAACGTCACTGAAATTCGCAGTAGACTGCGAGATTAAAACCGCACCATTTGAAGAGAGAGTAACATACCGCTAGCACGCAAGCTCAGAAAGAAAAAAACTTTATAGGAGTTTGTTATTTTGCGCTTTTCGGCCTGATCATTATGATAACAATCTTCAAGCGTATCTGACACTTGCTAGCTTGTTTTTATAAAGGGAAGATAAAAGAAGGAAATGAAATTGCATGAAACTGCAGGCAATGAAAATATCAAACAGGAATAGTTCATACTTCCTTTTGAGTTCATGGGAAACCTAACTCAAGGGATTTTGAATCTCGACCTTGGTGCCAAAGTTCCAAGAAGGCAACCTCATAACACAAGACCACTCAGTAACAATTTTTTTTAGAGTTACAAAGGTGTGAAGTAAAAGTCTCTTACTACCGACACTACAACGTTTTTATGAGCTCAATTTTTTTTACAATAACTGAGTTATTGCTCGCACGCTGATTGGCTAATTTGTATCAATAATAAGAGGACAGACATAAAATTTTAATTTCTGCAAGACGGAACACCCGTATATAACAGACAGTCTCTATAGTTTACCCGCTTAATACGAACACCTCTTAAAATGGACAACGGACACTTTTCTGTGTCCCGAGGCACAAACTCGCATACATTGTTAACCCTTACTATTTACGGACATTGGTTATCTGCGCACTGTCTACTTTCCTTGTAACAATCACGTGCTAATCGTAGATATTGTACACTGTTCAAATAATGACAGGTTTCTTTGGGTTTAAGAAGCAGAATAGCGTGATATATTTGATTTTAAGTCAGCCTTTCTTCCCGTGTTTGACCCTTGTACTATAATAGCCATTTAATATATTTTTTTCTGCTACAAAAGCTTCACTTCCTTGGCTTTTCGAAGCAGTCATTTTTCCTACCCTTCTTCATCTTTGTCTGCCATAGTCCTTAGATCAATACAACATGTGTCCTGGACGTTTTTTCGGAGAGCCTACTTATTACGGCCATCAGGATGATACGGACACCAAGGCATTTCCCCTAATTGTCCGTATTAATCAGGTTCTACTGTAGTTTCTTTTTTAAAAAATATATTTTTTTACTCATCCTTTTTTTCAAACATCTGTTATAGTGAAAAGAGAATTGACGCCAGATCATAACATTGTCAAATTTTCTACTAGATTGACTCGCCTGGGTCTCGTGTTACGGTGGGTCCACAACACTTCGACAATGTTATGATGCAATTTCATCATCAAGAAGAGGACAAACGATAAAGAAACTAGCATCGATGTGATGAATTGGACCAATTATATGCATAAAATTATTATTTAACCTACTATTTCGCTACTTTATCGTATGTAGCAGAGACCACTCATCCATTTGCAGGCGCAGATCGAGGCAGTTAAGAATGCCTACAGATATATTTGTCTCCCTTTCCCATGTTATTGCTTGACTGTAAGTCTACCAGTGTGTGAAAGTCAGTAACCAATCCTCAATTACTCGTACGCAGACAGAGATCGCGACAGTGGTGGGCTGGTGCTGGGGGATCTTAAAGGACGTGAAAATTACCCACTTTGAATCTGTTTATGTACAGTAGATAAAACTTTATGAAACCAATTAAACTACAAGGAAAACTAAAATGGTAAATAATTGTCTAGCTTTTTAAAAGTTAAATTAATTCTCATGATAATAATTATAATCATTATTTTCTATATCAGAATGTCAGAAATACAGAAGACTTAAGAGCGGTGACAGAAAGATTACGTACCGTAAAAACCACTATTACTGTGACAGAGGAATCGGACCTCGTTGGTTTCGTTTTGAGGGCGCAGCAGGCATAAGAATGCCAACTTCATGTCCACCTATGTACAGATGTGGCACTTATACACCCTGATGGATGAATGGTAGACACCCCACAGTAGCAGACGGTCAGGTCAGCAGGAAGGTGTGTTTTCATTGGAATTATAAATGCTGTAATTGGTCAACAAAAATCAAAGTGAGAAATTGTGGTTCATATTATGTGTACTATCTGCATAGTACACCACACAATGGCCATTGCTATCTCCGCTACTGTGGGACAGACCGTTAGTGTTGAAGGAACTGTCACGTTCCTCTTTAACAAAAGGAAGAGACTTAACGTTGTTGTGGTACACCAGCTGGTTGTAATCTTCGTTATTGTAATCTCCGTTATTTGTGACACAAAAGGCAAAAGAAGGATTTACATATTCTATTCTTTCACTAAGGTAGGTAATATAAAAAAGACTGCACTTGACTTAAATATCTGTATCTCTATAACTTAAGAAAAGGGGGAAAAACTACGTGGTAGCACAACGTACTACTCGCCTTAGCAAGCAAGGACAGTTTTCTTGAAACTAATATGAGGATAAAAGTACTTTTAAGCCTTTTTGAAGATCAAGTAACAAAATAAATGATATTAATAGAACTTACCAGGAAGTCAAACAAATAAATTAAATAACCATACAATAATACATTAAATTAGCAATGCAGTTGCCACTTGTTCTGTTATTATGCTTGTTGGGTAGGTCAGTCATTGGGCTGCTACTTGGTTGGCATTATCTCTCGTTTCGCTTGTCTTAATGTTAGACGGTTTCTTTTAGCACTTTTGTTCTTATGCTGGTTGCGTAGGTCAGTCATTGGGCTGCTACTTGATTGACAATTTTTAAGTCCGAATTTTCCTATCGATTGTTATCTCTCTAATTTGTACCATATTGACTTGTGTGCGTGTGTGTGTGTGCGTGCGTGTTTGTGTTTTAATGAATAACAAAGCTATAATAGTTTTACTATAATGTGCCCTTCTCCATTCTAATAATTTTTTTCTTTTTTTTTTTTCTTATGTACACGTAGTTTAAACAACCTTGTACTAATTAATATTGTACAAGTAATGTATTACCTATAGGATGGAGTAAAAATAAAATACAAATACAACAGACAAACGGTCACTTATATTGTATGAAGCACTTTTACACAAAATTAATTAAATGCTGTTTCGCAGTTGTTCTGCGGTGTTTTGATTACAGTAGAGCGGTCATCTAATTAAAAGACAAGGGTACAGGAATTGGCTTCCTCCCGGTCCGGCAGTCATTCTGAGGCTCCCTTCCCTACCTTAGTCGATCAGAGAAGGTAAAACTGGATGGAAGCAGTCAAGACTGAATGAGCTAAAGGCTCATTCGATTGACCATATTCTGCAATAGGTCGTCAAAGGCGAATGATATTATTAAATAAACTTTAAAAAAAATCTGCTTAAGGTCTGTGATACTGCTAACCATTTTTTACAAACTATATGTAACATTCTTATATATATAAAGGGTTTAGTGTATCGTTTCAGTGATGTCTCACGAATGTCACTTTGATATTGATCGTTACGTTTATTATGCATCATATACCACCCTTTCTAGGGGAGAAGGTTGGTTGGATCGAGTTTCCAGTACTGTTTTTATTGCATTAGGTCTTGGAGGTCGCTCTGTGAGCTTTGGACATAGGAATGCTTCTCTGGGGGAATTTAGGTTTGAGGGAAATTGATATCCCGAGATGCTCTAATGAATAAAACTTGTTCAGTTCGTGATACATTTCTAGAGATACTGCTTGTGAGAAGTATTTCGGTAATTTCCTTAATTTCTACAGACGCTGTTTGTGGCATGTGTTACGGGGGGGTTACTTCCCTATATAAGGCATTTAGGTATGTGCCGCCCCAAAGGGTAAGGTTTTTGCGCCCTTTTTGGTCTGGAATCGGGTATAGTTTTCAAGGGAGCTACGGTGGTGTATGAACATATTTGTCGATTAGTTCTAAATGAATAAGATATAAACCCATAATATGCGAATTCGAAATGGATTTTAAGAAATATATTTTTTTGTTAGCGTTCTCATCTCAGTAATGATGATATAATTTGCCTTCTTAAACAAGTATGTTGCTTTTTGTGACCGCCTCCAGGTTTGAAAACTAGTATGGATTTTAGAGGTCAGGTCTGAAAACCGGTGTGGAAAATGCCATGTTTTGGTCTGTAATAGGGTCAGGATTTGGAGAACCGGGCGGCACACCCCCTCCAATGATTCTTAGGAGTAACGCCCCCCTTCCCTGTGTTGCTGTCAAATTTGACATTCTTGTAGTTCCTGGGTCACCTTAATATCCGAACCTTCATTATAATTTTTACCAAACGTTTTTACTATGAATATTGTTGGCTTTTACATGACGTCACTAAACTTCAAACTACAAAACTATCGATCCTACGGAGGGTTTCCTTTCATGGTGTATTAGAGCAGCTGAAAACTAATTTTCAAACTAATTTTCGCTTCAAAAGGGCTCTTGGTTTTGTAATAGAGTACGCTTGAATTTCTAAGCTTTTGCGTGACGCAGTATTTACATGATCATGACGGCCGAGAGAACTGTCCTGTAGGTTAAAAAAGTGACTTTTTTCGGGGAATTTTGCTATCTCAACAGTTCATGTATCAGAAAAAGTAGTACTTTAATGTGTATGAGTCCTTCTAGGAGTAAATTTACGCTTTTGTAGCAAAACTCGGTAACAGATGTTTCTGTTGGTTTCCGTCCGCCATGGTGGTGCTCATCCGGATGGGCACCAGCATGGCGTCTCCATACAAATCTCTATAAATTTGGGGAAATCATTTCTTCGGATATCTCGTATACGAATTATTCCTTCGACCTAAATCTTGGCAAGGGTCTTTGTACATTTACCTCCTTTCATTTCCCAGATTCTGGACTTTATCTATCGAATGGTTTTGATTTTTATTTTGATCTATTTTGAATGGCGTGACACTGAAAACCAGCAATTCTTCGCTTTCTTTGTCACGTCAGCTTTGCGGTGTGTAGCGATATTTTTTTGAGATTTTAGCATTTCAAAAAGATTTGAAATAAAAGGCTAGCAGAATCAATGATGAAAGTTTCTGTATCTAACAAACACAATACCGCATGGAAAATGCTTTGTACGGTTTTCCCGAGATAGCTGTTTTTGTATCAAAAATCTCACTCTTTCGATATCTGACGTCAACAACTCGTACGAAAATAACGTACGCCTCCACTTTCCATGAAGTATTCTATACGTATAGCCTATGAAGCAGGCGCATGGAAGTAGTATTAGGTGCGAGAGGGGGAAACAGGCGAGGGGAGAGGAAGCTAACTTCCCACAGCGATGGTTCAGTTCTGTGCCATAATTTCTGCTGCTATTCAACTTCCGGGCTCACTTCTGAGTCCCACACCGTAATTTTCTGGCTCTTTTGGGGGTAAGTCTTTCAAAGGATACTTTACCTGGGCCCAATGGGCTCACAAAGTAGGGGCACCCAACCACTGTTTTCTGTAAAGTATTTTTTCGGAGAAGTAAATATTGACTACTAGAATTTTATTACTTGAGGACAGCTAAACAATTCAAGATGACCGTTCCATTCATTTAATACTTTCGAAGCTTATCTAATAAATTCCCTACGATTTTCTTAAGTTTAATTGTTCACATTTCACTGCCCAGGTTAGGCCGGTTTTTTTTTTTTTTAATTGTATTTAAGGGGGTCGTTGGGTGCCCCTAACAACGACACCCAATCACTTTATAATCGGGATCACGAAGCCTCCACCGCTAACCTCCATTTGCCTCACAAGGATTCGTTGCCGTCTTTTGGATAATTAACAATAAATTAAAAAGGCGTTAAATTCCCCACATGCTGAACTCACTGTCGATGTATTATTTTGGACAAATTAAGCCAGGTCACCCGGCGCGTCGTAAGCCCCTTGGGTAAAGATAATCCCAAACGATTCTTGAACAAAGTGGCAACGCCAATAAAAAATATGGCGAAAGCAAAAAAATTATATAGCAAACCACCGCAGAAAGGCGGTAATACATTCCCCTGAGTCCTAACAAACACGGGCGAGACTTAGAATGCTGACCCACAGAAACGGACAAATCATAAATAACTCACCCTGTAAGAGGCAATGAATACCCTCCTCAAACAGAAAACAGAAGGTTCCACAGATAGCGCAAAAATTGTACGAAAGAAAAAAATCCGTCATGTCTCCTTGGCGTAGAAGTGGAGTTCGAAGGCCTAACACGTAG